ACATGAAGAAAGGAACCGGGGGGAGAAAGAAGGATGGGCATGGGAAGATGGGATGGACCTCAGTCCAGTAAGACTTGTGTAAGAGCATTATAAGATCCTTCAGTGTGGCTTGCCGTGGTGCACCGTGATGGCAACCAAACACCACATCTACCTCTACCACGGCATGCCCCCGTCAGTGTGACCATGATGGAGGTGATTCCCATCACGGTCATCATGACCTTTTCGTCCCCTAAATTAAATTAAGTGAAATTTACAGTGAATAGAACTAAAACATAAGTCATTTCCCAATGTAGGACTTAAACTTTTTTATTCTCTAAATAGGACTTAATACAGACTAGTGAGAAGAATAATGTCCAAGTGATGCTGGATATTTAGTTGAATAATGACTAATGGTCCTACATTAAAAAATAAAAGCATATGATCTTATATTGAAAAAGTCATTATATTTTAGTCCTATTTATGTAAATTACCCTTAAATTAACTGTTTCAACGGTTAGTTTTTTACAATAGTATTTTTTCAATCATTTATTTAAACCCCAGACCCCTCACCCCCTTTAAAAATGACGCTTTCTGTCAACCTGTTTCATATACAAATTTTTCTCATTTCTATGAATATTTTTTGAAATCACATTGTGGTTTCTAATTATTTACAATTTCTCGAGTGACAGACCAGTTATTAATGAGTTCTCAACAAGTTTCGGGAATGGTGGAACCGACACTTATCCTTGTAAACGATGTTGAGAGCTTACTTGAAATGCAATCTACTCGAAAATTTAAAGTAAAGGTTGTGCTCAATGAAGAGCCGACTAGTTGGGGGACTCTGATAGAAAAATGAAAAAACAAACACAGACTAAGTGGCGCGGAATAGAACGGCATGATGGGTGTGATGTAAAGATGCACCCCAAATGATGTAATATGGGTCAAGCGAAATGATACCTTTCAATAACGAACATGTGGAAACTATTACAGCCAGGTACACACCAACAAATCAAAAGATCGAGTGGGTGACAGTTGGTGTGGTGGGGGCTCGAAAATGGGAGGCTGGGGTTTCGTCGCGCCGCTGTTTTATTCCCCACCCATATATATACGATTCTGCATTTTTCTACACGCTGCTGCTTTAACTTATCTACTTCTCCCCTTCCTTTAAATCTCTTTCACTCTCATTTTATGGAGTTTTACCATCTTGTTCTAAAGTACTCCATATAAAATGCAAGGTTATTATTAATAGTCACAGAGTATTCATTATCAGACAATCAGAATTAAAAATAAAAAATAATACGGAGCATATACTACTCTCTCCTTCCCGAAAAATTGTAAGGTTATTACAATTTTTTTTGGTTGACTATTTGATAAAATAAAATATTCTTATCGCCTCTCATTTTGTAGAATTTTTGATATAATTTTTTTAATACGAAATTTATTGATGTATTAATTTATAGATAAAACGATTCCAAAATATGAAAGATTTTGCCTCGTAACTATCGATTTGTAATCCAGTTATAATCAAATATTTTCCCTAGAGTGCGTATAGTATCTAGTACTACAGTGGGGCTATAGATATCCGATCCTACAGATGGGACTTCTCTGCAATACTCTTGTCTCCCCCCTCCTACTTATACAGTTATACATACCCCACGTAAAAAAAATGTACTACTGTGAGTATTTGACTTTTCAGCTGAAGTATACCTAAATTTTACCTTAGAAAATGGTATTTTTACTATTCACAAAATATCAGTTCAATCCAAAAAAATTGTAATGATATTTTGTGACATTTTAAATCATCACATTAATATTACAATAACATAAAATATTGGTACATGATTTAGGAGTATAAAATAGAGTACAATTTTTGGAGTATATATGCTTTAATCGAAAGATTTTACAGCGTTAGGTGTACCTAAACTTCACCCATTTTATTTTTGACATTATTCTTCTTAGACACCTTCACATACAACCTAGGTTTGTGCAATCCACAAACAAATGTAACATTGTAACTTCTTTGCGTTAAAAAAATGAAAAAATAAATTGGAACAACTCTTTGTCAATTACTCGTACAAAAAACATCAACCAAGCTCGATTTTGAACTATTCCTGCCGTCCTGACGATCTTCTCATGTTTGTTTACCGGGTTTAACGGGTGTTATTGTTAATTTAATTTATTTGATTATAGGTGTATGATTAAAAAATAAAATTTATATAGTTAAAGACAACATGGAAAGTTCTACAAAAGGTGATAAGACTATATTATTTGTCAAGTAACCAACTCAACCAAAAGCTCAAGCTTGTGGTTGTGTCTCAGGAATGATTGTTATATACTCTAACACGCCCCTTCACGTGCAGGCGTGACCTTTTTTAGCCTTGCACGTGAAACCTTAATTTTTTTTAAACTGGATGGCGGTGAGTTTCGAACTCGTGACTTCTTGGTCATCAAGGCTCCGATACCATGTCAAGGAACAAACTCACCCAAAAGCTCAAGCTTGTGGTTGCGGCCCAGGAATAACTGTTATATACTCCAACATTATTTTATCAAATAACTAACAAAAATATGTAATATAAAAAAAGTGATTAAAGTTTGATCGTGTAAATAGTAACTAGGAAAAACATTTTAGAGTGGATAGAAATATGGTAATATTCTCCCGATCCCAAAAAATGTTACAGTTCACTATTCAAGAATCACAAGAATTTTTGTTTATTTTTACATTTTCATCGATTATTTGAAAAAATAATATATTTTTGTCACTTCTTGTTTTGAAATTTTTTGACATAATTTTTAAATATGTAAATTTTATTTTTTATTTTTTTACCAATCTTCAAATAAAATAATTTGAAAAACTTTAAAATTTCACTTCGTTTTGCGTATTGTGGCAACCATTTTGGGACGAATTGAGTATTTACTACCCCGAAGTATTATTATTCACTGCATAAATTATATTCTCTGTCTCAAAAAAAGACTCCTAATTGATATTCAGATGTCAAAATTAATTTTACTTTTCTTTATACATTTTTTCCATCATTTGAGATAATAAAATAACCTTATTACAATTTGTTTTGTGGAACTTTTAATATTGTTTTTTAATATATATATAAATTTTATTTTTTAATTTACACAATAGGAGGTCTCTGTGAACCGCAATATATACTGTACAACCAGTTGTACGGTGTTTCCTGTAGATACGACGAATGCTCATTTACAAGTAACTGAATGTTCATTTTCGAGCAAGTGATGAATCCTTATTCTCGAGTAACTAAGTATTCATTTCTCTAAACTTTAGTTATGCTCGAAATTGAGCAATTAATTCGATTTACTCAAAAACGAATATTCTCTTATTTGAAAAATGAGTAATTAGTTATTTGACAATGAGTATTGATGCAGATGTACGACAAATATCGCACATTCAGATGTAAGTTATACCTCATAATTTTAAGTTTCATTTCCTTTTATTTTATGCTATATATCTTTTTTTTCTCAAACCATATTTAGGACTGTACTATTTGTGTGACTCACACTTCTTAGTTTTTAATTTTAATTTCACTATACAATTTTGGACATGGTTCCGCTGACACTGGCCAATAGTGGCACTAGCGATGTCACTACGTTTTTGGAGCACCTTCGGTACTCCGTTTTACAAATTAAAATTGATGATTCTTACCCACTCATTCCCTAAATCTTCCACCCCGGCCCCACTCCCTGCCTCCATCCCACCCTAACCCTAAACCTCCCTCCACATGTGTGGCTTTATGCAACACGAATGCATAATAGCCACACATTTAGAGGGGTAAAAGGTGTGTCTAGGGTGTGGGTGTAGAGGTCAGGCTTGGGTAGGGGTGCGTGGGGTGGGGGGATAGCGGGTAGAAACTATTAATTTTGTAAATGAAGCACCGGAGAAGCTTCAAATGAGCGAGTGTCATTCGTTGACATTAAAATTCAGTGTCAACAGAACCTATTTTACACTTTTACATTTATTAGTTTTGTGTCATTATCACATGTAAAAAAAGGTGAGATAGAGTGAAAAATATTTTAAATTAATATTCTTGGAGAGGTAGAGATTAACATATGTAATTTTATTCGGTGGGGGTTCTAGACAGTGACACCCACGTTTGGTCACTAGTGGTGCCACTACAATTTAGAGTAGTTCGAGTGCTCTGTTCGTAAAATTAATGGTTCTTACCTCTTCTAACCCACCCCCTAAACCCCCTATCTTATCCCTGCCCCTGCATCCCGCCGTAAGCCCCCCACAAAATGTGTGGCTAATTTGCATAATAGCCATACATTTTGTGGGGGGCTTACGGCGGGGTTGGGGTGGGGGTGCAGGGGCGAGGGTAGGGTGGGAGGTTTAGCGGATGTGTTAGGGGGTAGGAACCATTAATTTTACGAACGGAGCATCGGAAATTTTGGAGATGCGGGGTATCGATCCCCGCATGCTAAGCGAGCGCTCTACCATCTGAGCTACATCCCCTTTTGATTACACAAGAATAATTTAAGTAAGACGATAAAAATAATTAAATAATATAACATTATTTAAAAGAACAAATAACTCAATCAAAAGTATAAAAATGTAAAAGCGAATAAAAAAGAGTCATGTTTGTGCATGTTTGAGAGGTCTTATATTATAAATTTAGATAAAAAAATGTTTTTATATATTTATTTTTTGTGATTGATTTGATTACAATGTAAGACTTGAACGTGGATAAACTTCTTTGTGAATCTTGGAGAGTGATTTCTCTACCACTCAATCTTGGGTGCCATTGTGTATTCATTATATTTACATTTAAAAGTTAAATGGTGCTCATTTTGTACATTTTTTTATAATAATAATATTAATGAAATAAGAATAATATAAAAAATGCACACAAATAATTTTTAAATAAATGTTGGAAAGAATCTGATAGAGTTATAACAAACTTGAAAGAGTTTGAAGTTGTTGAAAGATATTAGAAGCAATTGAAAGAGAAGAAGAATTTGAAAGAAAATAAGTTGGAAAATATTTGAAGTCTGCATCGAGCTAAGGATGCATTTTGTTGGGGGGGGGGGGCAAGGCCGTCTCCGAGAAATTAAAGGCCCTGTACGACACATAGAAAATTGGCCATTGTGTCATAATATAATAAAATCTATCAATTACTTTATTTAAAAATAATTAAATTATACTAATAATAATAATAAAATATCAAATTCATGGTGTAATCAATTTATAATTGCATACCTTAATGGCTATCCGAGGAATCTTGAAGTTCCCCTAGCACTCTTGAGAGCAAATTGGTTGATCTATACTCTCAAGGATTTCATTCTCAATTGCTATTATCGCCAATCCGCTAAGCCTTTCTTGGGACATTGTTGATCTTAAGTAAGATTTCAACAGTTTCAATTTGGAAAAACTCCTTTCTGCACATGCCACTGTTATTGGAATAGTCAACAATATTCTATATGCAATGCTTGCATTTGGAAAATGATCAACTTTCAAATGCTTCAAAACATCAATTGGATTGCTAAATTCACTGGTTTCTAATGTGCAAAATAACTTCAACTCTGCATAAAGTTCTTCAGCATCAATATCCGATCTTTCACCATACTTGAGTGCATTTGCCAGAGTATAACAAGACAACTTAAGATCTTTGTCTTAAATCCCCCACAACTTATGCGGAAATAGAAAACCAAATAACTTCTCAAACTCTTTGAATTGTTCAAATCTTGTCTCTAGAGAAGTAATACCTTTGTCAACAATGAAAAGGAAATAATTGATTCTAAAATTCTCTTCGGAATCAAAGGAAACTTCATTGCTACTTGAACTCTCATCCACTCTCTTTTTTCTTCGAGTCAAACGTTTTTGGGGAAATATTGGATCAACATCCATTTCAGTAGCAATCTCCTTAGCTTCATCAAAGTCCAAAGCTTCAAATAACCAAATCAACACAAAAATTTAAAATTAGTGAACTTAAACCTGATAAATTGTAACTATAATTTAATTATATTTATATTGAAAATCATAAATCAACTTGAACTCAAATAATCTAGTTTATGAAATTTTAGAACTGAAAATTTTTTATTTACAGTAATTAAAAGTAATAACTAATTACTTTAAAAATTTAACATTATTTTATTTACTCTGATTGCTCTAAAATTCTTAGAGTAGACTAAAATTTTAAAAACAATACTCTAAAATCATGATTCATGAACATTATGAAATTGATAAAATCAACTACCAATGACCTATTTGGAGTAATTACTAATTTCTAAAAAAGAAATAGAGAAAAAACCTGATTTAAGTGAGATTGGGTGATTGACCTTCTAATCTTTATTGATTTTGGGTGTACCGCTACCCCCTAGAAGTTGCTGTGGTGGCTTCGTTTTGCCGAGGTCGGAACTCCGTCTGTCCGTCCAGAGAGTGAGAGGCTATCCGGCATCGGCGATTGACCAGGAGTTAATTGAGTAATTGGCAATTGCGATTGAGATTGTGTGGCAACGATGGACTGGCTATTGCTTGTAAATGGGTAGTAATTCCTTCGGTACCTAGATAGGCCACTAGGCCCACTGCCCTTTACTTTTTTGTGTTTTAAATTTTTTATATTAATAAACAAATGTGAACATACATACATATATTAATATATATATAATACTTGGGCCCCCTAAAAATATGGGCCCTGTCCCAATGGCCAGGCTGCCCCTGCCTCCAGCCGGCCCGGGGGGAGGGGATATTTTCTTAGTAAACTACTCCGTAATTTATATGATAGAATGATTTTTGCAAAATATTATTTCCCCCCACTTTTTGAGATTGTTTATATTAGTAAGTTGTTGACATTTGAATAAAAATAATGATGTTTTGGACAATTTTAAAATATTTTTAGGAGCACAATCAAAACATTATTTAAAAGGAGTGGAATAGTTAACCAAAACAATGATCGGGAAAATTTTATGGACACGTTGTGTCGCCTAATGCATTATTTATGGAAATAATTGTGCATTTAATGTATTATGCGAGAAAATTTTAAAACCAAAATATGGGTATATCGATAGCATGATGTAAGAGTATGCGTTGACAGTGTGATGAGAAAATGATAACAGTGAAATATGTTAGTGTGATCAGTCAACCGTCTCCGATTCGTGGCAGCACACTGGTCGCCGGCGGCGACGAATGACAATGTTGCGGTGATATTGTGGCATTTACAATGTGACAATGTGGTGAGTGTGACAGTGTAACAATGAAAGTGTATGTTCCTATTTTGGTTTTAAAAACTTATGACTCATATTTTTGTATTTTTATAGTTTTTTAATCATATCTACAGAGTTCTCCAAAAAAAGATTTATCTTTCTAGTTTTGGCAATTTTTGTGTGGTTCAGCTTCTTTCTCAATTTTCTCTGTAACACTTTCAACCATATAATTTGATTTTTTTTTAAATTTATACCAAATCCAAATGGAACACTTTTTTTTGGGATGGAAGGAGTAGATGAAACAAGATTATATTTTTAAGAAAACGCCTTAAACACTTAGGTTGGTGGGGTTTAACTTTGAAAATTTATCTAAATAGTACTTAAAATATAGTGACTTTCTCAATTTAGTATCATACTAGGTATGTTTTTATTTTTAATAAAACTACTTGTCATTGTCTATTGGATATTGTTCAAGTAAATGTCTACCGCCACCAGATATTGTTCAGATTAATTGTCCATTTGTCCACCATCACGGAACATTGTCATCGCAACTAGACATCGTTCAAGTACTCATTATGGAACAAAAAATTTTAAGTACTACATTGAGAAATGACATTTATTTTAGTATGGAGTACTATTTAATGCAAATTCCCCTTTTAACCTTTAATACTACTCCTGTCCTAAAATTAACTTATCATTTGACTTTTCACGGTCTCCAATGCGGCACTTTGACCATTAATATCTCCATTTTTATATGAATATATATTATCAAAATAATATATTTCAAAACTATGTTTCAAAATGAATCTATTGATACTAAATTTATATGAAAATTCAATAGATTTTTTCCGTAATATGCAGTCAAAGTTTAAAAACTTTGACTGCAAAAATCAAAATGGGAAATTAATTTTAGAACGGATGGAGTATATTTTTTGGTCTACAATTACAAGTAGTCTAAATTATTACATGAAACTGAAACATATGATACGATATGGATATAAGCGAAATATACTCTGTTGTTATTAATGGGAAAAAATAGAAATTAGAAATCAAAAATTTTAAAAATGAAAACACTAAGATCCCGTTTGGTACACGAAATTCAAACGATGTAATTGGAATTGAGGACTTCAATTCCCATTCTGGTATTTGGTAGCACAAAAATTGTGTGGATTTAGAATTGGTAGTGCAAAAAATGAATTGAAATTGGTGGATTCAATTCTATGGAATTGAATTCTATGAAATTTTAATTTCAATTCAATTTCAATTACATCAATTCCGTGTACCAAACGGACTCTAACAAAGAAGAATGTGATTGCATACGAAGCAAGAGAAACGTGAGAAATTAATGAAAGATGATAAATTGGAAAAACGAAAATTTAAATGAAGAAGAAACAGATCGGGAGCGGATTCGTATACACGATACAAGATGTCTTGCCAGCATGGGTTGAAAATTTCCATTGGGCCTTAATTAGTGGACAGGAAAATTGGATCTACAAAATTAGATTCAGCCCAATTTTACAAAATACCAACGATTTAAACCAAGCATGGTCCGTGAGGTTCGTCATGGGATGAAATTTGTACGGAGTAACTTCCGATTTTTTTGCAAAATTTTCAATTTTTTTTCTAAATTATTTTAGTTTTTTTAAAATGAGATTGCATTATAACTGAATCAGGAACAAAATCAAGAGGGATCTTTGATAAAAGCACCTCATTTCAAGACTCTAACTTGATAAGAATAAAATATTCTAGTCACATTTTGTTTGTATAATTTTAACTTATTTTTTAAATGACATTGATTATATTACACTGTAATATCTTTAATATTTGTTCCAAAAAGTGAAATAGGTGAATAGCTCACACTTTGCCCGACGAAATTGTAAGAGAATGTAAATCATGTTGACTTAACCCGCAACACAGTCTGAAACCAGTTTTCATTGCGCAGAAAATGTTCCCCTCATTTTTTGAGAGTTTGCTCCCACACTGTCGGTAGTGAGGCTCGATCATTGGTCTCCTGTTCCAAATTCGACCTCTGAGATCAGGTTGTTCTCAGAGGAGAGGAAATAGGTGTGACGCCCACCGACGTCAACCCTGATTTTAACACCTGGGGGAGTTAAACACCGCGCCCCTAGGGCTTCAAACGGGCATGACTCCCTCAGCGTCAAACGTTTAACGCGATGCTCCCCTCCCCCAACGGCCAAAAACGACTACTTTAGCCGTTAAACCAAAAAAATCTAAATTAAAAAAACCTATAAATTCTCTCAAAACAAACTTATCTCTAACACATCTCTCACTATCTTCTCTTTACAATTCTATCAATCTTTCAAATATTTGATTATTTATTATAAATATTTATAAAATATATTTTAAAAATGAGATCATCTTCATTCGATGATGAAAAAAGAGCTCTCATTTTTCATTGTTTCACCACGAGTGGTTATCAATGGTGGCAACAAGGGGAAAAAGAAGAAGCCGATTGTTAAAATTCCGGCGGGCCAAGAACAACGGATAGAGTGTCGGGTAAAATTAACCACTTGTATATAGAGTCGTGATCCACAATTCTAACCCAAAAGCTTAAGCTGATAGGTAGGGCTTCACCCTTCAATATATGTAAGTGATACTCATCTTTATTTTCCGATGTGGGAACTCCAACACTCCCCCGCAAGTGGTAACTAGCCTGGCCCAGTTAGCACTTGGACAAACGAGTCTAGCATCTCAATCTTTTATAGCTAGCCCACACAACTGGCGGTGGCATCTCAATCTCTTTTTAGCCAACTCAGCCCAAACCACATACGGGTAGCTCATTTTTGCTAAACCCACATCTAAACAACCAGGAACAATCAAACCCGGACCGGACCTGCTCTGATACCATGTTAAAATTCTGGCGGGCCAAGAACAACAGGTAGAGTGTCGGGTAAAATTAACTACTTGCATATAAAGTCGGGATCCACAATTCTAACCCAAAAGCTTAAACTGATAGGTAGGGCTTCACCCTTCAATATATGCAAGTGATACTCATCTTTATTTTCCGATGTTGGAACTCCAACACCGATTCCTCCCAACGTCGGACTCAGACCCGACGACAACATCTAAACTAGGATTGAGCGGCTGCCCACGCTTCACTTCTCAACGGTTACTTTAATACTCCATGTGTTTATACACCAGAGGATTTTCGTAATCATTTCTTGGATGAGTCGTCCTCTCTTTTTACGCATACTTGTCGATGTTGAACGCGAGGTGCCTTGGTTCACCCAACGCTTTGATGCGAGAGGCCGACACGGGGTAAGTAGTGTCCAGAAGCACGCTGCCGCACTTCGTCAGATGGCGTACGGGATGACATCTGATATGTTCGACGAATACTAGAAGATGTCGGCTCAGAGCATCAAGTCCTGTGTTTATAAATTTTCTAAAGCTATTATTCAAATTTATCATAAAAGATATTTACGCAAGCGTACAACGAGCGACATTCCGCAGTTACAGGCAAAGAATGCTGCTAAACACAGCTTTGTCAATTCTCCTAGGGGGGTCATCCCAAGCCTACTATCATGCTCAAAGTTGTTGTTTCAAATGACTTGTGGTTTTGGCACACTTTTTTCGGTGTCGCGGGCTCGAACAACGATATCAATGTTCTTGATCAATCGTCTGTTTTTGACGATTGGATTAATGAGACCGCACTCGACTCGTCTTTTGAGCTTAGAGGGACGCTTTACATGCGTGAATATTATTTGGCCGATGGAATATATCCAGATTATTCCATGATTGTCAAGTCCCTCTCTGAACCAATGGGTCTTAAACGCAGACCTACAAAAAAGCTCAGCAGACGGCGAGAAAAGATATTGAACGAGCCTTCGGGGTCTTGAAGGGTAATGGCACATTCTAGATTGTCCGTTGAAATGTTTTTCTCAAACGAAAATGAGGAATATCATGTACGCATATATTATTTTTCATAATATGATCGTAGAGAACAACAGATTTGCGATTTATCAATACAACCCGGACGAGGAGATGCCTAAGTACGGAGAAATCAACGAAAAAAAGAAACGAAGAAATTCGAAGCCGAGAGAATCACAATGTACTAACGGCGGATTTGATCGAACATATGTTCAATCGCTCGAATAATTAGCAATTTGTGTGTATTGTTGTTTTTTTTATTAATGTAATATTTTTTTTTAATGAATGTAAATTTTTTTTATGAATGTAATATTTTTTTAACCAATGTAATTTTTTTATGCACTATTCTCCTTTCGATTATTTTAAATAATAAAATAATTAAAAATTATTATTTTAAATTTAGAAGGTGTATTTTTAAAAATGTTAAAAATTAAGGTTTGAAGCCCTTGTTTGAAGCCCCGGGGCTTCAAACCCATTTTCAATGAATTTGCGAGGTAACTTAAAGCTGACGTGACATAGAGAGAAATTTTGAAGCCTTCCCGGAGTTTTACAGGTATTTCCAGTGCCCTCACATTGCTGTTAGTATCCTAAATACTGACACACAAAGAATCAACACATCTACGTTCGTTGAGACTCAAATCTGGTTAAACTTTTCCAGAAATGATGTGAAGTGAATTTCCTACTACTCAAGTCAAAGGAGAGATTCTATTACTCATATATTTAATATTTTTTTATTATATATAAATTGTGAAATAAAATAAATTGAAAAAATTTAAAATTTTACTTTTAACGAAAAAAACAACATTATAGCGCTCGGAGTTCGGACAGTTTATGTGCAAACGTTGTGTCCGGAGAACACCACAGAGATTCCCACCCCCCCATTCAATAACACGCTCCTACGGCGCTGTACTGTCCTTTTTGTTTTGTCTCTCCCTCTTCCCGTTTCCCATCCATCGATTGAACGATGAGGTGTGCGTGGCGGCGGACGGTGGTGCTGTTGCTGACGTGCGCCGCCGCGCTCCCTCCGCCCTGCGCTCCGGATTCGAGCGATTTCCTGTGTTTGACCCGTTTCAGCGCCGCCCTGGAGGACCCGCTCCACACGCTCCGGAACTGGACGGAAGCCACCTTCTCCGACCCCTGCGACGGCTTCACCTCGTACCTCCAAGGCGCCACCTGCAACAATGGCCGCGTCTACAAGCTCTCCCTCTCCCATCTCTCCCTCGCCGGCTCCATCTCCCCTTACCTCTCCAATTGCACCAATCTCCAAGCCCTCGACCTCTCCTCCAACTCCCTCTCCGGCCCAATCCCGCCGGAGCTCGGATTCCTCGTCAACCTCGCCGTCCTCAACCTCTCCGACAACCTCCTCTCCGCCTCCATCCCGCCGCAGCTCGCCCTCTCCGCTTACCTCAACGTCATCGATCTCCACCGCAACCGCCTCTCCGGGCCCCTCCCGCCCGAATTCGGCCTCCTGGCGAGGCTGACGGCGTTCGACGTCTCCGACAACCGGATCTCCGGCCCAATCCCGGCGTCTCTGGCCCGATTCAATGCCAGCTCGTTCGAGGGGAACAAGGGCCTCTTCGGGTACCCTTTGCCGCCCAAGAGCAGCGGCGGTCTGTCGGTGTTAGCCATCGTCGGGATCGGATTGGGGAGCGGCGTTGTGAGCTTGGTGCTGAGCTTCACCGCCGTGTGCGTGTGGCTGAGAGTGACGGATCAGAACCGGGAAGTCAATAAAATCAGTCACCCCATGCCGGACTATTAATTAACAAATTAAAGCAAGCACTTTTTCTTCTAATTACTTCCTTTTTATTATTAATATTTGGTGCTTCGATCAATTCTTCTTGAGCTTATCATTTCAATTTCTTGATGAAGATGAGATCAATAGTGTGAATGTAGCATTTTTATTTTTTGGGGGGTTTTGTTTTATGGCATCACAATTGCTCTCAATAGTGTGAATGTAGCACTCATGGCATCCTATCATGATCCTTTGTTTGACCATCACAATTGCTCTCAATTTTGGGGATGGCTGGTTGGAATTGAAAGGCTGCAGTTTCCTTTATCCACAGTTTGAATTCTTACCATTTTTAATTTAAATTTTATTTTACTGTTTTTGTTTATGCTAATTTTCAAACAAATTAGTCCGTGTTACATGTAGATTTAGTCACACTCTAAATTGAATACGGAGTAACTTTTTTTTTTGTGGAATGCTTAATTTATGAATTATAAGCAGAAAACGTAATTATCCTTAAATGGCAAAAGAAAAATGTCAATCTGAACGAAATTGTAATTTCTGTTAAGATCAACAATAAACAGGAACTATCCTAAAATGGCAAAAACATACTCCGTTATTATCTTAAAATAGCAAAAGAAAACCTAATTATCCTAAAATAGCAAGAGAAGAAAATGTCAATATGAACAAGATTGTAATTTTTGTTAAGATAAACAGAAAACATAATTATCCTGAAATAGCAAAAGAAAAAAATTGTCATATATGAAGAAAATTGTAATTTTTGTTAAGAAAAACAATAAACAGGATTTTAAACACCTATAGCAAATACGACGTACTAGCAAATTAGCAATTAGTTACTTCTTGAATTCAAACAATCAAAGACAATATCAAACACTACAATTTTCAAAAATCATGGTTTCATTGGTACACAAAATTAGAATTGAATTAAGAGTTAGAATTTTATGAAATTGATTTGGATGTAATTAAATTTTCTAATTCAATTCATTTTTGGCACTATCACTATCAAATTAACGTATTTTTGTGCCACCAAAGAGTAATATTATACTCCGTAATTGTTATCAGCAATTATAATTTCATAGTTTGAATTTGGTGTAGTAAATGGAGCTTTATTGAGTACAAAAACTCATAAGCCCGCTACTTAATCCTTGCCAGTATGCCGTCGAGTTGGTTGAAAACACACACCTTGTAGCTGACATCATCATTCTTCATTTTTGACTTGCCTGTCTTCATAGGCATGCATGCGAAATTATATGATGTTACTTAAATTGTTTTTTATTGTGCTAAGGTGACACTAAAATGGTGACGTTATCTTAACTCCAAGTAAAATTACACTGATAAGGCATAGACAGTAAAATTTTGTATGTGCATAAATCTTTACTATTTGTGTATAGATGTAATGTTTGAAGTTTAAAATGAGCTAGTCATTTTTTGTCCCCCTCCCCCGTTCTTCTGTCTATCTTTACTTTGATGTATGTCAAGTGAGTATTTCAAGTATTTTCTTTTTTTATGATCCCTAGTTGAAATAAGTTGGCATAAACACATTTCATACGAAAGTCATCTTTTATTTTTACTTAAATTTTAAGGCATTTTCTCTCAATGTTTATTGTGCAATATTTCTTGTGGAGATGCTCTCCAACATAATTAACATAATTTTCTAAAAGATTATAATCATATATTTCACACCCTATAACTACTTCATAAATTGTTAACGATTTTCAACATCTAAAATGAAAAGAGAAATTAGTTTTGTGCAACAAAGATAATTTTATAGGCAACATTTTTATCTATTTTCTAGATAGACACACAAACATTTTTAATATACTCCGAATGAAATTAGTTGTGCAACACAGAACCACCAAATGTTGAGAGTGGTTTCCCAGTTAAGATCCCATCCTTGGAGCCCCAAAACTCTACCGCACCTTTCCCCGCCGCACCCAATTCCCAGCTTCCGGTCGCTCTCGTGTTCGCCGCCGCGGCTGCAGAGGCGGCAGGACGATGATGGACGCGACGAGCCCATAAAATCATCAAATATTCTTGTAGTGCAGCCCCGATTAAAACCCAAATCCGCTTTGAAGCCTAAGCTCGCAGAGGCTCTCAATCTTGCCAATTCCCTCGAAGAACCGCGAGATGGGTTCTACGAAACTGAGTTCTCCGAGAAAGAGGCTCCTCCTCATATAGTTGTTCAGAACCCAGCCGGAAGAGGCTGCCGTGCCGGTAGGTCCAATTTATAGTTCATGTGAAAAAGAAGAATGCTTTGCAGTAGATAAATAATAAATTATTCTCAGCATACTTTCATTGTTTGTTTTGCGGGGCACATATTGATTGAGTTTCTGTAATGTCACAGATACTTACTTTGGGCTAGGGACAGTAAACACAGTAAAATGCCATATAAATGCATTGGACTCTAAGGTACATAGTTTTGGCCTTAATAACTGATTAATGTAAAGGATTACTTCTATCTTTTAAAGAACCACTAAGGAGTAAGGACACATCCTTGTTGGGATATATGTGGCTTAGTTTTTGCTTTTTATTGTCAGGGGGGAGTGGATGCAGTTTTTGTAAATGCAATGCTCTCTGGAGTCCAGCAGCGAAATTTGGGTGTAAGCTGGATTTTTTCATATTTGATCTACTCATCTGAAAGTTGAATAATTTAGTTTTTATAGCTATTTGATGTGGACTGAACCGAAAAGTACTGAAACACGTTGAAAAGAAGAAAGAACAAACCCTTTCTTTTTGGATTAATTGAAGAATTCATTGGTCAATTTGTTAAATTACATGGTTACTCCTACGGATTGCAGCGTGAATGGGGTAAACCTGTTATTGATCGTGTCGGTCTTATCATAGAAATATTCAATGCACATGCACAGACAAAGGAAGCAAAGTTACAGGTAATCAGCAATCACATTACATGCAGGAAGCCATTAGATTATGTGTCTGGAAGCATTTCTGAATTTCTATACTTAATAGGCTGAGCTGGCAGCTCTTATGCACAAGAAGAGCCTGCTTGTACGTTCACGTGATCCCGGTGGGCGCTCTACGTTTGGTGTGATGGGAGAAGCCGAGGTTGTTAGTGCTAGAGGGTGAGTCTATTGTTTGATTTTTCGAGTACTGAATATGAAGAAGTCATCACTCAGCAGTTGTTTCATACTCCGGAGTATTATGTGATGGGAGTATTATTTTTCATTATTGTGCTCTCTTGATTGTGTTCTAGTTAGTAACCATATTAGCTAGGCTGAAAATGTGCTCAAGGGCTCAATAGTGGTTCGCAGGAAAGGAAGCGGAGGGCGTGGGTTTATTAGTGGTTCTGGAGAGTCAGAATTGCAACTCCAACGGCGAAGGTATATGTTGTTTACTGTCATAATGCATTTTATGCTCTATTATTATGAGTGTTAATATTGACATTAACAAATGAAGCTTAAAACTTTTCAAATTTCAGAATTTTAGAGCGTCGGATGCAATTATTATCTGAAATCAAAGAGGTGCGCCGTACCCGAGCCTTGCAACGTGCTTCGCGCAAGAGGCATGGTGGGTCTGATGGCCACAGCATTGCCACCGTTGCTGTTTTGGGTTATACAAATGCTGTAAGTTGATGGTGTGTGAATATCTATCTATACCACCTCATGTACAGTTGTGTTGATAAGTTATGTCCTTCACAGGGAAAGTCTACGCTAGTAAGTGCCCTTACTGACAACTATCTCTACAGTGATGACCGGTAAGAACTATGAAGCACCACCTGTGAAAAATAACATCTAAACTTGTTTTTCTCCCAGTCATGTATTTGTTATTGCTTATTTCTTGGGACATGAAATAGCATTGTCACCACCATCTTTCTTGGCCATCATTCTGCAGGTTGTTTGCAACTGTTGACCCAAAACTGAGCAGTGTTGTTCTGCCATCAGGGTAGACATAAATATACTGTTTATCATGCGGTTGTGTGTACTGGGCTTTGTTTGGTTGGGTATTAAAATGAAATTTTTGGTCCAGGAGGAAGGTCCTTTTAAGTGATACGGTCGGATTCATATCAGACTTGCCTGTCAAGGTAAGTAGCTGGTTAATAAGATCTCTCCCTTCCATTAATATGGTCGGTTATTCATTCTCGATTGGAAACATGGGTGCAGCTAGTGGAAGCATTTCATGCAACATTGGAAGAGGTCGTTGAAGCGGATATTCTTTTGGTCTGAACTTTTTGCTCTTTTTCCTCACTGCTATAAGCATCTTGTTTTCTTCGTCTTATTCAAAATATTAAGCAGCAAAGAAACAAAAATCTGTGTCCCAGCACGTGCTAGATTCAAGTGCGCCGAATCTTGATGAACAGCGGAGGACTGTGTTGCAAGTTCTTGAGCAGATAGGTGTATCTGAGGAGAAGCTTGAGAACATGATTGAAGTGTGGAACAAGGTACAATTACAAAAAAGGGTCAGGAAAAGGCATGCTAGAATTCCTACAATTTATGATATTGTGCATTGGTTTTATACTTTTACAGATCGATCTTGAGGAAGAGGAGTTCCACTTTGATGAAGAAATAGAAGAGGAGGAAGAAAATGATGAAGTCGACAATGGAGAGACGAATGCAGAAAATGGTGGCCAGGCTGACGCCTGCTGGTTAGCCTCAGAGGGGGAGGAAGAAGAAGACTCGTGGGTTGACTATGACGAGTCATCCGTTGGGTGCGGGGATTCAGACGCCCCTTGGGTGGCCCCCACCAAGGGGTGGTGGGCTAGGAAGAAGAGCAGAGATTTAGAGGCCAAATCTGGCCTTGTTCCACATGTCAAAACATCGGCGGTGACTGGTGTCGGGTTGCAGGAGTTGCTGGAGCTGATCGACGAGAGGGTGAATCAGGTTCCCCAGGCTGCACCGGAAGCCACCATCTTCGGGCGCAAATGGAGGCCGCCACAGACTGAAGATGCTACCGGCGTGTCAATTGGACGGTGACATGTGAATCACTTCTACTAGTATTTTTTACCATCACTAACCAAAGTTACTCGGTATGTGATATAATACTCCATTTACCCCAATTAAGTTCTCTCTTTCTCTCTCCTTTTTTAAAGATAATATCTGAGACTCCAACATACAACACCAAGTCACTAAATGTAAGCATAGAACACTTCAAATTGTCACTACCCAAGTAATCTTTTAGTGAAGGGCACGTTTGAAAAGTCAACCATGTGTGAACTTTATTTGGGGATAAATGGAGGATACACTCCTTTGGTTTTTAGAAAGGTGGAGCCCGAGAAGATAGTGTGTGGGGTAAATCATGGTATAATCTCAATTTGGTCTTTAAAAAGGCTGTCTCGTATCTGGTGCACACAAGAAACTATTACAAAGAATAGAATTCCACACTGGTGTTGCCGGGACTCGATCTCAGGATCTATGAGCTTGACATCCTTTCCTTGGACAAGTTGAGCTATCTATGCGGACACTCTTGTTTTTAGGTAGTGTGTGCCATGGCTCGTGAAATCACTGTAATAAATTATCGATGCTACGTAATAAATGGATTTGTCTATATGTTTATACCTCAGTTCGACAGTACCCAGGGCCGGCCCCGGGGGTAGGCATAGGAGGCTGCCGGCTAAGGCCCATTTCACAAGGAGGCCCATAATTATTTTTTATCTAATAGTACATTAGTACTAGTAATATATTAGGGAGAAAGACCAAAGTAGGACTAAAACATTGAAAATATACCAAAATAGGACTTTCATTTTTTATTCCCGAAATAGGACTTACATTACCAAACATGGTCATATACATTACCAAAAAGTATAGCAGTGCACATCTACACTGCCATATTACCACAGTGCAAAGTCACATTACCACAGTGCAAAGTCCTATTTTGGAAAAAAACATGAAAGTCTTATTTTGGTACTTTTCTCTATGTTTTAGTCCTATTTAAGGTGATTTCTAAATATATTATTCTCAAAAATAATCAGTGTAAGCTTTTAAACTTTCAATTTTAAGTAAATATATGAAGTATGACACACTCAATCATTTTAATTTATCAATTATTCAATTAATATTCCTCTTTTGTAAAAATAATTACTCCCTCCGTCCTAAAACTTTCTTCCCATAGCACTATTCCAACTTCACGGGAATTTATATTTAGTTGTGTTTTTTCATGACCTATATGATAAAATAAAATATTCTTGTCACCACTTGTTTTGTTGAACTTTTGATGTAGTTTTTAAATATGTAAGTTTTATTTTTATTTTTATACCAATATTTAAATAAAATAGATTAAAAAAACTTAAGATTTTTCTTCGTTTTGCGCAACGGGAAGAAAGTTTTAGGACGGAGGGAGTATAAGAGGCCTAATTTTTAATTTGCCTAAGGCTCATAAAATGTTAGGGCCAGCCCTGACAGTACCTCACTTGTGGGATTATATTAAGCTTTTGTAATTTTGGTTTCTGATATAGAAAACATATATCATGTGATTTATTTTACTTCATCTGTTCCTGAATGTTTGTCTAAATTTTTTATAGTGAAACTGAATGGGTTTTGACTATGAACTAAATAAAATTTATACTCGTATTAAATGTCAATTCAAGAATAATTTTAATAAAAAAGTCTCTTGTAAAATACTCTCTCTGTTCAAATTAATCGACTATTCCAATTTACGATGTTTGATTGAAGTTAATTTCAAATCTTTTTAGAAAGATTATTTTAAAAAGAGTAAATTCCATAATTGGTCCTTTATAACAGAGGGGTTTCCCTATTTAGTACTCTATTATCAAATATTATCACAGTAGTCCTTCATTTATGGGTATCTTTCCACAAATAGTCCTTTTTTGATCTTCAATCATGTTTGTGTTAATTTGAGGGTTAAAAGTGTATTTTCACAATGATAATATATCTTTTTTGTCATACACAATTCCAAAGGTTGTTCCGTTTGCGTCGTTTGTGAATTACAGTCGCTTTCTACTACAACCATAGTCTACAAATGTGGTCATTCGTCTGAATTCTGGTCCACAATCATAGTCATTATTTTTGTGTTATTTGCTTAACCAATATCAGAACACGTCACTAGACATAATGTTGATGTCAAATTATGCTTTTAGCCTTTCAATTAACACCAACTTGACAGAAGATCAAAAAGAGGACCATTTGTGGAAAGGCACCCTTAAAAAAAAGACTACGGAGGTAATATTTGATAATAGAGGACTAAATATGGAAACTCCCCTGTTATAATGGACTAATTATGGAATTTACTCTTTTAAAAACTAGTGATAACATGATTATATTATTTTATCAAATGATTAACGAAAATATAGAAAGAAAACAAATAAAGTTTGACCATGTGAATAGTAAATAGAAAATTTAATTTGGGATAAAGAGTGTATTTTTTAAAATATTATTTTATCTAGTTAATATGTCATATATGTCAAAAATGAATTTTATTTGATTATTAAAATTTAAAATGGAATAAATATTCCAGGACGGAAAGAATATTATTTTCTGCCGGCATAAATCTTAATACTCCAATTTTTATTTTAGCATCGTTTGAAAACAATATTTTTAATTATTTATTAATATTTTAAATATTTTTTTAATAATATAAGTTAACTTTGAAAATATTATGGAGAATTAGCCTAGATTAAGGACTTGTTTGAGAAAAGCGTTAGAGATTAGCATTAGCGTTTTGAAAAGGCTATCTACGGACAGCGTTTAGCATTTGCGTTTTCAAAGTAATCTACACCGTTAAAATTTTATCCAAAACGCTAACGCTATTTCCAAACAGACCCTAAAGTTTGTAACCTATTTGCAAACACACTCTATTATAACCAGAAAACGAGATGGGAGATACTATTACGTTAAGAAAAGATTACGTTCAGAAAACTCCCTCCGTTTCTAAATATTTGTCACACTTGTATTTCCGAGCCAAAATATCAAGTTTTTTAAATTCATTTTATTTACATATTGGTATAGAAATAAAAAATAAAATTTACATATCAAAAAACTACATGAAAAGTTTTTCGAAATAAGAGGTATCAAAAATATTTTATTTTACTCGGGTATCAAATAACCAATGAAAACATAGAAATAAACAAAAATTACGCAACTGCTGAAAAAGCAAACGTTGTAAATAATTTGAGACTAAAGGTTAGTTTAATTTATCTACGGAGTATTTAGTTTGATAAATTTGTTTTTTCTAAGAAAAAACGCCAGTAAGATGACCGCCGACAAAAGTAAGAAATTGTTAGCACGAAGGGGAAGCGCGTAACCTCGGCCCCACCTCCCACGCCTTGCTCTCTGTCTGTCTCCATTGTTTTTTTAGTTCCAGCTTCTTCACCACTTTCTTCCTCCCCTCCTCCTCCTTTTCTTCATTCTCCCATCGCCGGATTTTTATAATCCGCAAATTTTGTGTTTATTTATATATATTTATCTTTATAGATATACGTGAATCTGAAGGCAGCAGATCCAAGGTCCCCTCCCTCCCTAATCTGAGGTGAACTCTCTCTTCCTGCTTTTCCTTCCATTCCACTGCGATTCTTTGTTCAATCAATCTGCTTTCTGTTCTGTTCATTATCTTGTGAAAATTTGGGATCTTTATATCGCCATGGGTGTAAATCTCAGAACGGATTTCTTTTTCTTTTTTTTTTTGAATTTCCGCGGATCCACATTCATTCATACTGCTCTGTTCTTTTGTCTTCCTTCGAAGAAAATCTGATGGTGAGAGAGTGGTACTGTTCAGAGTGATTAGATCAAGTTAATTGCAGTAATTTTCAGACCGAATCAAGAAAAAGTTGCTTTCTTTGCACTCATTAATGGAGCTCTAGATGATGTTATTAGCTGGACACAAACATGTTGTTCCATTAATAGAAGATAATTTACCTTTTCCTTGTATGCCTTTGTTTCATAAATGTCAGTATTGCATAGAGGCTGCATAACTCAAAAGGTTTCTCCTTTTTTGTCCAGTTTCTAGCGTTGTTTTAAGGCTAGATACAGTTCTGAAGAAGTCATGTCTAGAAAGCCCGGATACCCAACGAGGCGGTTTGGAGCTGGTGGAAACTTTGGGGGGCTGTTTCATACGAAATCGCGCATTTCGCCTCTTTTTCCTACAATTCTCATCATTCTGGTACGTCGAACATTTAGTTTTGAAATTTCAAATTTATGGCTTTCTTTGATGTACCCAATGCAAATGCAGAGGTACTGAATACTAGTTGTGCTTTAATCTTTCAGGGTGTTCTCTGCGTGGTCACCTATTTTTATAGCGGCAGAGGTAATAATTCTACTTACAAAACATACTGCTTCATCCTGAAATCAACTTCATGGTTCTGTTTCATGGAGTATAAGAAAAGTGTTGAAAAGTAAAAAATGCATGGTTGAAATCTGTTAAGAGGTGAGAGAAAGGTTGTGAAGTTTATTTTGGGACATATGGAAAAGAAAAATATGAAGTTTATTTTGACATGAAGTATATTGGAAAAAAGACTCAAACTTTGGATGGAACTAGCCATTAAATATCTTCATTTACACCACTCTGTTATTATTTAAAAAAAACTTTTAGACTTTTATCTTAACCTACTACGTACTTTCCCCCCTACCTCCCAATCTAGGTATAGTTGGAAGCGCAAAGGAAGCACTTAGCAAGATAGATGGTAATGTTTTCTATTTTTCTTTTGCCTAACTGTATTGTCAATTTTGTTTTACTTTTTTAGTATACAACTTACCTCGGTATTCAGCAACTCGCCATAACATATGACTATGTGAGTTTATTGGTCTAAAGAATTTGTTGTAACTATCTTTGCTGGTCTTTTGTACAAGTAGTTTTAATGTCTAGATATGGTACATGTTTGTCTTGATGTTTTTGTGCACCATATATAAAAGCAATGATTTTGAATGATGATAGACTATGAAATTATTTTCCATCATCTCCGATGGAGCCAAAAATTCACCATTTTTTGGCTTTGGGGTGTGATGGAATAAATCAAAATGGATCTCTAAATTGTCTGCGCTTCTTTAATTAATGAAGTAGCAGTTAGTCAAGCAATACAACTTTCGACGTTGAGCCGGGGGTCTCTTTGGAAACAGCTTCTCTACTTTCGAGTAGGGGTAAGGTCTGCGTACACACACCCTCCCCATTGTGGGATTTAACTGGGTTGTTGTTGTTATATGCTCGTGTTCAAATTTGTGTGGGGGAATTGCTAAGAAGTTAGGATGATTTGAATCACAAAAAATTGAAGGAACGAAAAGTCTTTGTGAGAGAAAGAAAGAGTGCATAAACCATTTACTATAATGCGGAGTACTATATTAGAAGAACTATTCCCAAAGTTGTGGACTTGTGCATCCAGGTGACTTTACATGCACGTCAGAGGTTCAAAGAGCAACGCCTTATTTGAAGAGTGCATATGGTGACAGCATGCGCCGTGTTTTGCATGTGGGACCGGATTCATGTTCGGTGGTTGCTAGATTATTAAAAGAAGAGGAAACCGAGGCATGGGGTGTAGAACCCTACGATATAGAGGATGCTGATGCTAAGTGCAAAAGCCTTGTGAGGCAGGGTCTAGTGCGGGTAGCTGATATCAAGTTCCCTCTACCCTACCGTTCAAAATCATTCTCACTTGTTATTGTATCAGATGCTGTGGATTACCTTTCTCCTAAATATCTTAACAAGACACTTCCCGAGTTGGCAAGAGTATCCTCTGATGGCCTTGTGATTTTCACAGGTAAACAATCACACTAAAAAGATCTTTAAGAGATAGATAAGGTTTACTTCACAGTTCACATTTATATGGTCAACCCAAATCAAGCAGGCAAACAATGCAACACTTATGATGCCATCAGTCCAATTTGGGTAAGTGAGCCCAAATCATAGGGTTCCACCACCCTATTGTAGGGGCAGAGGGGGCCTTGTGGTCTGTTGTAAATATAATGAGTAAGAAAACAAGTATTGTAAATATGATGAGTTGAGAAGCTTTGTCTATTGCATGTCTCTTGTAGCTAGAATACATATCAAAACTATACTGAAGGTACTACTAAATAGGTCGGATTCTATTGATCTTTCTCTTTTCTCAATTTACTAGGTCATCCAGGACAATCTAAAGCAAAAATTGCAGAGCTGTCCAAATTTGGGCGCCCGGTGAGTTTCTTATTGGACTAGGCATTCCCAATGCTTTTCCTTATTTTACTTTGATTGTTTTCAATCACAATCTAGCTATATGCCTACCACTATGTTTGGTTCGAAGAATTAGGAAATGAAAATATTAATGAAAGGAAAAGAAATCAAAGAAATCTAAAATCCTAATTTTGTTTGGTCCTTAGAGAAATTGATGAGAAAAATACTTTTCCATAATTTCTTTGTTTGGTTGTTGTAAGGAAAGCAACAAAGGAAACCGCCCCGCTCCTCATCCCACACCCTCACCCCTACACATATTTCAATTAAAAAAAAGATCTCATAAATAGACTTTTTGCGAGAGTGAGATTGAGATTTCAGAGGATCTACTACCTAGAGACATGGTTTCTTTGCTTTTCCGCCCGAAATGGGAAGGAATTTGCTGTTCCCTTTCTTAGTTAACTTTTTTTCTCAATTTTCTTTTCCTCAACAACCAAGCAAAAAAGATGGTTTCCATTTTATTTTCGTTTCTTTTCCCTACCAATTCAACGAACCAAACATAGTGTACTTGGCCAGTCACTTGGTCTCATGATACCTATCTCTAGTAATTTCAAGTAGTTTATAGGATCGTTTGGTTAAAATGGTTGTGGCTCAAGCTGTTTCATTTTCTCAAAGTAAAAGTGTCTGCTTGCATCAGCTTGCCAAATAAGTCAATCCAAACTCCAAAGCTACTTATCAGCAGAATACCTGCATTATGAAGCCAATTAGGGGTACCAAACGGAGGCAAAATCTCATTAAAGAGCTAAACTTGCAAGTTAGTTATTAGACTTCCATTGATATCATATTGTTGCACCTAATCATCGCAATGAATGAAAGAGAACGTACCATGTATTGTTAGAGTATAAAACCTTTCCTGGGCTACCAACACAAGCTTGAACTTTTAGTTGAGTTGGTTCTTAACATCATATTAGAGCCTTATTGACCTAGCCTTACCATCACATAGCTTTGAAAAATTAAAGTTTACGTGCAAGACTCGAACAAATACAAGTCTTGCTTGCACGTGAGGGTGCCTTTTAGAGTCTGCAAATGAGCTTTTGATTGAGTTAGTTCCCTAACAATATGCTTCATCATATGAAGGCAAAAATGCGGAGCTCTTCGTGGTGGGCAAGGTTCTTTGTTCAGACCAGCTTAGAGGAGAATGAAGCGGCAGTTAGAAAGTTTGAGAAGATTATCACTGAGAGCGGATACTCGCCAAGATGCCAAGTTTTCCATGTCAAATCATACCACTGATAGTATATTCACATATGCCGAAGATCCTTTGATTATTAGTCTATTTTTTCCTTTTCCTTTTTTTGTCAAAACGCATTTAATTATTCGTTAGTGGCCACAAAAGTGTGCTTTTCTTTGAGCTTTTAATCCAATATATTTGTACACGAGGTGACTATAATTTGTTTTGAAACAGTCAATAATCACAGTGCTTATAGAAGAGTCTGACGGAAATATTGTATTTTTCACATTCATGAATATCCTTTTCTAGATAGCATTACATGATGTCCTATGCTAAAACATGTTGGTAGACTTGACAGTACTGATAAAAGTCAATAGTAAAATGTATCACCAAAAATCCCCACAAGAACAAAGGCCATCCTTAAAACAGTGAAACCTGTGGCAGTCTCTCACAGTGATCTCTCGATCCGCTATGACAGAAATGAATTTGATTGCATTGTGGCAGTCGCCGCATATCCTCAAGTTCTTAAGGACAAGTATAGGCATCCCTTCTTTGGTTGATAATAGCCCAAAAGCGACCGCCAACTTCTCACTGTGATGCCTCAGGTGTCTCTCCTTCACTTCGTCACGAATCCCGTCATCCTTAAGCAGGGCCCACCTCACGTCCACCACGTACCCTGCTTTCTTCATCTTCTCTGACATTTCTTCCCAGAACAGATATATCTCCTTTATCATTGGATGCGAATGATCTTCTGCTACGAATACATGTATCCTCTTGTCCACCTCTATCCAACTACAACCCGGTTTCTTCTTAACCCCCTTGTCGCGCATTTCTTTCCTAATAGCTGCTACTTCCTCCCATCTTCCAGAATGGCCGAGTGTGTTTGCAAGCATGACGTACGGAGCTGAGTTTGTGGGGTCCAACTCAAGGCACTCTTTGGCTGCTTTTAGTGCTAGCTCAGTGTTACCATGGGTTCTACAAGCTCTAAGCAGTGTTCCCCAGCCGATTGTGCCTGGGCTGTATGGCATGCTCTCAATAAGCCTCTCGGCCTCTTCTAGTTTTCCGGTTCTTCCTAAGAGGTCAATCATGCATGAGTAGTGTGCTGCCTCTGGTTTGATCCCGAATTCCTTGGTCATCATACTGAAATACTTCTTGCCTTCCTCTACTTTACCAGTGTGTGCACACGCAGACAGGACCGAGACAAACGTTATGCTTGTGGGGCCCGCGTTACTGTTCTCCTCAAGCATCGTTTGGAAGAGCATAAGGGATTCCATGGCACGCCCGTGTTGAGCATAGCCTGCAATCATGGAATTAAGGGTCACGCTGTTGTGCTCTGGCATCCTATCAAATACTTTCACGGCATCTGGTAGATTTCCACACTTAGAATACATAGTGATAAGAGCATTGCTGACCATGATTCTTCCGTTTGCTGGGATGTATGATTTGATGGCCAGAGAGTGAATCTGTTTCCCTTGCAGAGAAAGATTACAACATGCACTGATCACACAAACAAAACTGCAATCATCGGGTCGATGACCCACCCTCTGCATTTGCCTAAAGTAAGCAATGGCCTCTTCAGAGAAGTCGTCAAACAAGGAACAACCAGATATCATGGTGTTCCAGAGGACTAAGTCAGGATTTGGAATTTCTTGAAACACTTTCTTGCAATCCGGCATGCCACAACTGCTGCATTTCGAGTACAGATCAACCAAGCTACTACCAACGTGGGGATTCAGGTGAAAACCAACCTTGATCAGGCGAGCATGAAACTGAAGGCCACCATGAAAGTCCTCCATGTTAGTAAACGCAGTTAAGACACTGGCTAATGTAAACATGTCTTCCTTTAACTCCAACCGCACCATTTCTTGATACAAAGACAGCGCTTTTGATCCCACCCTGTGTTGTCCATAAGCAACGATCATGGAGTTCCAGGACACCTCATCTTTGATCTCACCCATTGCTTCAAAAACTCTCTCGGCCTCATCCAAATTCCCGTTTTTACTATAACAAGTAAGAAGCGTGTTATTCACAGAAACAAACGCATCAAACCCGCCGGAAACAGCCAGAGTATGAAACTGGACAATCAATTTTTTATCATCACAAGAAGCCGTGATCACCCCTGACAACGTAAATGAGTCAATATCCAGCCCCCTCCTCCTCATACCAAGAAACAGTTCAAGAGCAGGCACGGTGTCTCCACGGTCTGCATAGGCAGAAATCAGGGTGTTGTACGAGACAAGGTCCGGCTGGGGAATTTGATCAAACAGTTGGTGGGCGACGTGTGGCAGGGCTTCTTTGGCGTAGGCAGCGATGATGGCGTTGTAGGAGAAGACATTGGGCGAAGGGGTAGAGTCGAATGCCCTGCGGGCGGAGGAGAGGCGGCCGCATTTGAAGTAGAGGAGGATGAAGTGGTTGGAGATGTAGGTAGAGGGCGGGATAAGGTGGGATTTGAGATATACTGCGTGGAGGGACTTGCCGATCAAAAGGTCCCTCTGGGCTATGCATGTTTTCAGAATGTGGCGGAATTGTTGCAGGCACCACCACACTTGGGTCATCTAATTCCCGAGCGCCGCCGTGGGACGGCCATGTAATATAAGCTTCCTCTCCGGTTTTTCCTCCCGCACTAAAAAGACAGTCTAGTCCAGTGATTCTAGTCTAACTTGCACTCTTTTTATTTTATAAGTAACTGGCACAAAAAAATCTATTTCTACCATTTAAAATGAGCTTGAGAAGACAAATTATACGGACTATGATATCATAGTTTTTAGAATTGGACTTGTAATCAAATCACTAAAGATACTGATTTACTAGTTCACTAGTCGAATTAGTAGTTCAATTGGTCAAACTGATAATTTAAACATATTTTAAAAATTATATATATATATATACATATTCATACTTTATTTAAAAAGACATGAAGTCAACATATGGTTTCCTGCCCAAAGAGAATGGCAATAACAAATGGGAATTGTGAACTTAAAATGGTAAGTGACCGAAATTATAGTACTTGGTCCGTCCCTGAGTGTTTGTCCACTTTTGACTTTTGGAATTGTTCATCTAAGCACTTTGACTCATCAAATTCTCTCAATGTGTAAGCTTAAAAATAGTCATGTGTGATCTTGTTTGATTCGTCTTAACATATAGATTATTAATATATAATTTTTATAATTTTTTAATATACAAATTACAAGATAAAATTGATTAAAGAAGTGCATTGGATGGTGTGCAAAAATGAAAGTGGACAAACACTCAGAGACGGAGGGAGTAATAATTATTATAATTATTATATTTAAAATAATTAGAGAAAGGTAAGTTAATATGGCGGAAAAGTAAGTTAATTATTGTGAAGTTAAAATTAATATTACTTTTTAAAAACATGATATTATTAATCTAAAAAATAATTATTATTATTAATCTAAAAAAATGGTTTAAAAGCTATAATAAATATAGTTCCTTTTTATCACACGGTATTAACCAGTTTTAACACGTAATCATTTTAAAAAAGGAACAAATAATATGACACCATTTATAATTGGTAATTAATTATTAATCTAAAAAATAATTATTATTATTAATCTAAAAAATGGTAGTAAAGATATAATAAATGAATAGTTTTATCACACGGCATTAACCAATTTCCTTTTTAAAACGAACAGTTTTAACCCGTAATCATTTTTAAAAAAAACAATGATAATATGACACCATTTATAATTGGTAATTAATATTAACTGAACGAAATTTTTCTAATCAAGGTAATTCTAAATCTTCAATAATAATGATTCCACAGAATATTATACAAAAGGAAATATAATTTTTAAAAAAAGAAATATTACTTTTAAAACACAATGCTTTCAATTTGTATGGAGTGTACTAATTATTTTGGGTATAAATAAGTATTACGAGTACTGATTGGCAACCTCTGAAATTTTTGCAAGAATAAGTAACTTTTATTTTTATACACCCAATTAGAAATAATTACAAAAGCTAAGTTATACAATTATACACCCAATTTTGCAAAAAAATTTGGAAATAATTAAAAAAGGTAAGTTATAAAATTATACACCCAATTTCGCAAAAAAGATAATTGGAAATAATTTAAAAAGGTAAGTTATAATAATGAACGTGAGTAATATAAATTGGAAATAATAAAAAAAGGTAAGTTATACAATTATACGCCCAATTTCGCAAAAAATAGTTTTGGTGAGAATAATTATACACCATTTTCGAAAAAAATTAACCCTTATTGGGTGTAGCTTATAACCTATTACAATTATATATACTATAAATATGGTACTTTTCCAGGCCAAGGTAGTAAGATTAATCAACGTGTGTTTTAATTCGGTGATTCAACATCGCTTTTTGTACTAACATGGGGATCATAACAGTTTTAAAAAATGTTAATGAGAGGTCAGGACTATTGATGTTGAAACTAAGAGCCGTAAGAGTTTATCACGTTCCTACTCATTCTCGGGGGCCAGAATCATTGGATGTTATTTTTCACGACTCAGAGGTTAGTTCTACATTATTTTAATTTTACATATAAATCTATAAAAAATTGAATTTAATTATATGTAGACGTTTTATATTTGTTGTTAGGGCGATCAAATCCATGCTCAGATCAAAGATTTTAATATACGCACATTCAAAGAAGATTTGCAAGAAAATGTGGTTTTCTTAGTGATGAGAGTCAAGGTTATGCGCAATTTCCAAGACACAAAAACTACCAATCACCCTTGCATGCTGCAGTTTTTTGGCAGGGCCAACATTCAAAAACTCTCAGAAAATGGATTTCCTAATTTTCGATACAACTTTAAGAGTTTTGAAGATATACTCAAAACAAAGATTGCTCACCACGTCTTTTTACTTGGTAATAGTCATTTACATACCTCAAATTCTTACACATATGAAATACATTTAATATACTCCCTCCGTCCCCCTGTATTTGTCCACATTTGACTTTTGGAACTGTTCATCTAAGCACTTTGACTCATCAAATTCTCTCAATGTGTAAGCCTAAATATAGTCATGTGTGATCTTGTTTGATTTGTCTTAACATATAGATTATTAATATATAATTTTTATAATTTTTTAATATACAAATTACAAGATTAAATGGATTAAAGAAGTGCATTGGATGGTGTGTAAAAATGAAAGTGGACAGATACAGGGAGACGGAGGGAGTATTATGATTATGAAATTTATAAAATTGTAAATTTCTGGACTTTCAGATATAACCGGGAAGGTTGTTAGCCGAACCCCGTCCGAAACCCGTATGGTAAATCATGCTCCAGAGCAAATGATGGAAGTTACCTTGGAGGACCACATGTATGTGACTTTTAAAGCAGAGCCAGATATATAACATTGATGTTTTTTACCTTAAAATAACATAATCTCTAGATGTTATTTTAAGATAACATAATCTCTATATTCTATTGCATCTCATTTTAATGAATAAAAATAACATAATCTCTATATGTTATTTTAAGATAACATAATCTCTATATTCTATTGCATCTCATTTTAATGAATAAAAATAACATAATCTCTATATGTTATTTTAAGATAACATAATCTCTTATGTTTTTTTTACCTTAAAATAACATAATGTCTATATTTTATTGCATCTCATTTTTATCATTGAAAAATGATTTGAATTTAATAACATAAAAATGATCCGTGCAACGCATGGGTGTGATACTAGTGTGTGTGTGTGTGTATAGACATGCACATTCTGTTATTTATAAATACCTAAAGAAAGTAATTTATAACATTTGTCTAAAATTATATTAATATACTTGAGTAATGTCACTAAGTTAAAAAATAAAATTTACATGCTTAAAAAATAATATTAAAATTTTTATAAATGAAGAGTAAACATTCTAATAAAATCTTTGCATGATATGCATTTTGTAATATTATCAATTATATCAATGATTTTGTGTTTTACTTACAATCTTTTTTTATTATGAAATTTTTTAAAATATTAAGTGAACGTGAAATTTTTTATTATGAAATTTTTTAAAATTTGGGAAAAAAATCTGGTCCGACCGACCGGTTCATATTGGTCCGAACCATTATTATTATTCTCATATAAATCGAATATGTTTGGATTAGCCAATATTATTATATAATCCACATAAAAATTTTAGTCCAAATAAAGAATTATTTATCCTTTCCTTTCTATATATGAAAATGAGGCTAAAGTGTCCAAGAGGTTGACATATAGAATAATAAATAAAATATATTTTTTCACCTATAAATATATTTTATAGTTATTTATCAAGAAGTATATGTTTACATGAAATCAGTTTGATTATATTTATTTAAATATTAACACCTAATAATTAAAATGCATTATTTGCCTATAAATAAATTTTATATTTATTTTGACTCCTTATAATCTAATGTTCCATTTAATTTAAGACATAGAAAATGAGAAATTAATATTTTGGTATGAAATCTTGTTGGCATAGAGCTTGATTAGTATAGTCTAGTCTTAAGTTAATGAGCTTCTATATTTAAAACTCCTTCAGGTCAAACTATGACACTTTTGGACCATAAATTAAGCATAAAAATAAATAAATGATATAAAAATTAAATATATCAAAACTATATTCTAAGATGAAACCTAATTATATTAAATTTATATTATAATTAAGTATACTTTTCTCACAATTTATAGTCAAAGTGTGTCATTCTTTGACAAAAAAATCAAAACAAGAATTTTTTTTAGAACGGAGTATTAATCTTGGCCAAATAACGCCGGCACCCCTCGTGGTTTGCAAAACAGACACCAATATCCACTCTATTTTCAAACCTTATTTATAAAGTACATGTCGTTTCAAAATGCTGCACCGTTCCCCCTCTGATCATTTTCGGGCCATTTTTTCGGCGAAGAAGGGGGACATTGGTGCATATTTTTTAAACCATAGGAGGTATTAGTGCTGATTTTTATTTCTCGCTTATTTTTTGTTTTTTCCATTTTCTCTGTTTTGTTTCATTTATTAATAAAGGTTTTTTAAAAATTATTTTTATAATTTTCGTAAAATTTAAAGTTATTTTTGTTTGAAAAAATTAACATATAATGCATATGTACATCTCAAATTAAGAATTTCTGTTTTTTCTGAAAAAAATAATTTTTTTTGAGAACTTTAGAAAAATGAGGAATAAAATAAGAAACAAAATAATACAAAAATAAAAATGAATATCCTTTTTGGACATCTCAATTCTAAGAACTTTTTTAGGCGTGTCCAATTTTTTTTTGTAAAAGACTTTTTTACGCATTTTAATTTTTTCATTTCTTTTTTCTACATTTTTATTTTTTATTCTGGGTTTTATTTTTAACTTTCCAAAAAAAATTTCTAAGTAACAAAAAGTGAAAATGTTTAATTTGAGATAGATGTAATGTATGTTAATTTTTTTTTTCAAACACAAAGAATTTTAATATTTTTAAAACATTAAAAAATTGAAAATATATTTTTAAAAAAACAGGAAAATGAAAAAGAGTTAGAAAATATTTTTAAAAAATGGAAAACACAAATAATAAATAAAAATAAGAAATGAGCACGAATGCCCTTATGGTTTATAAATTATGCGCCAATGCCCTTTTCGCTGGAAAATGGCTAGAAAATGATCAAAGGAGGTGTGAG